TCCTACCATCTCACTTGAGAGTTCTCAATAATTTCAGCTGCACATTTGCAACTTCCTGTACTTAAAGCATTCAATATTCCCCCCAATTCCGATTCATCGTACTTATCGTTCTCCTTTATTAGATATATATTTGCACCATTGAACATTGTTTTTGCAACCGTTGTCATTTTGCTCTTGATCTTGACTGGCGCGGCACTCTTTCGCACCTCATTGATTGCCACTGGGTGCTTGTGGTATACACATACGAATAGAATATTATTATATGGTAGATATGTATAGATTATTATTTAAGCAGAAAGATGCAGTAGTCTCGAACTGGTTTGACTCATGTATAACAGTGGTGAGAGGTGCCCACTACCATTGCGCAGGACCAATCCAAGCCCTCTATACTATTTTTGTCAGAAAGAAATTAGAAATCTTATCAAAAAATCTATCAACCAATCGTTATGGCATCTAGGACTTTTAGGTCCTTCCATTTGTCAAAAAATTTTAAAAAGTCCACAAATGGAATCTCGTAAATCTAACAGTTTAAAAGATATTAACGATTGAAGCTTGATTACTTTAAGGAAAAGTTGTTTTTCTTATGAATTTTATAACTCAATAAAAAGAAATCGTTATAAATCCGAAAACTCATAGTTTTGTAAGAAATTTAATGCTCCACAAAAATGGTAAAAATTATTAATCTTTAATTTTTACTAAACGAAGTTTAAATCATTATTCAAAGCACCAAAGTTATGTCGCCACATTTCAGTTATATTTTTGTTCACGTGATCTTTAAGATAGCTTTCAATTTTCCGTTTTATGTGTGAAGTGTGCTAATTGAAATGCTGGCAAACCAAACAAATCTTGCAACATAGTTCATACATGACTGTAAAAATATATTTGCATACATATATATTTACTATGGTGTTTATGGCTTAGTGCTCTTTGAAAATATCAATCCTTAAAAAGTCGTGAACATTCAATTCGCCCGCCTTATTAGGTATCACTGTCTTTTTCGATTTTGTGTTTTCGTATTAAGTTTTGCTCTTTTATTTATGCACTTCCTTTCTTGTTTACTTGTTGGCGCCTGTGCAGTTCGCCAATGTGGTAATGTGAACATGATTATATACAAATCTTTAGAAATGCATATTTACACTAACGCATCTGGCACGAATTACCATAAGACCAAATAGGAAAATCTGTGCATGTGTTTGTATGAATGTATGTATGTATGTAGGTGGTATGGAGAGGCAGGGTCTTTGTAAAAGAGGATTTCGTTTTTAAGGCCATTTACTTTTTTATAATTTTTAAGCCTACTTAAATTTTTGACCAATATTATACAGATATATCAGATATCTACATAAAATTTGCCTAAACTTTTCACTAAATTGCCTTTTAGTCTCCTATAAACTGTAGTCACATTTCTATAAGGCTTCGAGATAAATGTATACACATATTTTGGGACCTATTAAGCTTTCTATCAATTTTTAAATGTTTGCTATATAATCTGGTTGACCAAAATTGCAATCCCTTCTATAGACGTCCCACATATTATCTACTTATATGAGCTTCAAAACATATCTTTGATCGAAAAGGTTTCAATATTATTTTGAACTGCTTTCTTGACTATACCTGTATCATTATTTAATATTGTGATAACTTATACAAAATTTAGCAGGGCTTTCTAAACCTCGCAACCCTTCCATAGTCACGCCTATGTATTTGTACCCAATTGTGCCTCTAAATGCATATGTATGTCTTTACATAAGTATGCCTATAAGTGCCTCACCATTCGTGCAACACCTATTTTGCCTCCTTGTACTCGCAGTACATAATTTTTACTCTTTCCTAATTCACACTTTAATAAAGAAAATATTATTAGCTCGGCTGCATTTCAAGTGTTGCATGAACAAAGTTGTCGGCCGTTAAGGATTTCAAATGCATAAATGTGTAGATAGTTTTGGTTGATTGCTTTGAATTAATAGCACTTCAATTGTTTTAATCGATTCGCGTTCAACAGTTGTGTCTACATGATTATATGTATGAGCTATATAGCTGTTCTACTTTGTAATGATGCTGAAATATGTACATGGTTTTTAAGAGTTAGATGCTTAGTTGTTGAATGCTGTTTGACACTCTAATTGGCAGAACAATGGCTACTATTCATTTAAATTTTGTAAATATGTATCTATGTATATATATACCAAAATGTTTGTATATACAAGTAGATATATGAAGTGCCTTAATGTTGGCTTCTAGAGTGCATTTCAAGTATCCTAATTCGGATGTCATGAAGCATGTTCAAGTGGCTGCAATAAAGAGCAATATAATAAGGGAGAACAAATTTATTATGTTCCAATCAGTTACATCTTTACGTATATACATATGTATATATTTCATTCAGATCTTTCAACTCACTTACTTGAAGCGATATCTAAAATAAATACTTCAAAAACTTCAATAATTATTCAGTAAAATATGCGCATATAAACATATCTAACTTTGAAATATTTGCCATAATTTCGACGTTTTATGCTGAATTGACAACAATTTATTTATTCCAGAGATAAATATTGATATCATCTGTATATGCCAACGTTATTTATATATTTGTTTATTAAGCAAATTGATCTTTCAGGTTTTATCTAAATATTTACTGTCAGAAGCAAAAATCGTATCACTTCTGGCCAAATAAAGTGCCAAAATTACATTATTTTATTAAAATATTCAAATAAACTTCACATAAATTATGCACACATCGTATAATTATGCTAGGATCATGAAACTTATAACGACTTGAAGTAGGCAAATATATGATTTGTGATGGCAAAGTAAAGGAAAAGCAAAAACAAGAAAAAAACGTTAACGTCGGTTGCACCGAAGCTATTATACCCTTCACAAATACAAAAGTTCCTTTCAAGAACTTGAATATGAATTAATTTCGTGAAGATACTTCGTCAAATAAAAAAATTTTCCCTATAAGCACTTGATTCCGTTCGTTCAGTTTGTATGGCAGCTATATGCTATAGTCATCCGGTCTATACAATTTCTTCGGAGATTTCATTGGGTGTTACAAACTTCGTGGCAAACTTAATATAATATAATATATTGGAATGAATGCAATGCAGGAACAAATAATCCAACCATTTTCTAGTGGACACATCATATCTTCTCATTTATGAAGAAATGTTATAATTGAAATTGTTTACAATATTGTTATGATCTTAGTCAGAGAAAAACACATTTACTTTACTGAGCTTTCGGGTGAACTGCTATAAAAATTATCATAGTAAAATTAATGTTTTTGATTTTTTATGCTCTCGAGTTGAAATCTGAGTCTGACTGTCCGTCTGTCGGTCTTTGCAACCGATAAATTAAGAAAATATTAAAATATCTTAATGAAATTTGGTACACGTGTTCCTTGACACTTAAGGAGGGTTGGCGCGGAAGCGTTCCGTTGCCACACCCACAAAGTGCTGTTAAGCAAAAACGTATTAAGTGACATAACTAAGCTACAAATTAAGATACAAAAACCTTTATTTCAAGAACAACTTAACGAATTTCAATCAAATTGGGTAAGTAAGGCTATTACTATTGCACACTATGGAAATGGGCGAAATCGGTTCAAAACCACGCCTACTTCCTATATAACAAATTTATAAATGTTTCTTTCACTTTAAAGTATACAAATGAAACATCAATTAAGTTATCAGAATAAAAATTTGCCCAAATAGTGCCCGCAACGTATTTCATGTTATGCTCAAAAATTGTCGAAAACGGCTTTTTAGGCTGGTACACTAGGTGTGCTCCTTAACACGTAAAAAAGTTGCTTCTAAAAAAATATTACAGTCCGCTAAAACTAACAGGACTTATGGTTGTTTCTAGTTGTAAAGTTGTGTACATATGTATGTATAACTCATTGGTTTCACTGCAGGGTATATATTATGCACATATGGGTATAGTGTATAAATATGAAAGTGGTACAAATGTAATCGTACTTACCAATACTTCCAACGCAGTATTGAAATAAATGCGCATACCACTTGACTATGCCTTACATAAATCTATACATACAATATATTTTCACACACTTCAGAACTACACAGAACTAACGCTGCTATTTGAAAGCACACACATATATTTGCACATATATACATACACATTTAAAGTACTACTGTCTATTGGAGACTATTTTTTTTAACCTTTTTACTCTCAAAACAACTGCGACACGGCATTGATACTTACACTTACATACACTGCACTCTACATATTTACTGGCATGAATGCATAACCACTTTTGAATTTACAATAAACATAAATAATTTAACTACACATCACTCTACCACCCGAAATACCAACTAGCACGTACTTTAATCACATTGAAACAAATAAGCCACATCAAATCTACGCACTTTTTCTGCTTTGCAAAATGGCCACACAGCCGATGCTTTGCTGCACGGCATAGAAAGAACCAGAAATGCCTGAAAAAACACACTTAACACTTTAAAAATATAAACTTTCACTACACCAAACACACGCGCACATATTTACACACACTTTTCACTATATTTTAGCACATTACAATTATATTTAATAATATTTAACAGAAAATAAAACGATTTGCACGCAGCAGCAGCACAACGGCAAAATAAATTTAAGCAGCGAATTAATTAAACTGAATTCGTTACTCTCCAGCATCACCACTGCTACCTGATGCACGAACACCCACGATGACCGGCAAGTGACGAGTAGCAAGCGACACACAAACAAGGCAAATTGGCACAGCACACAACAAAGGTCACAACAAAAACAGCGAAGTTCAGCAAATGCTGTGTGTCGCGTGCCGAGCACACGGCAATCGCAAACAAACAAAAACAAGCAAAGGCAAAAGCAATAGGAAAGCAAACGCAAACCAAAAACAACACAACGCTGCGGCCTTCGAACATCGAACTGCAACGTGATGGCAAGAAGCAGCATTGAGGGTTGTTTGTGGGTTTGCTAGGCACATTTCTGAATTTGTTGATTCAGTTTGCCGCGGACTCTACAATCGTTTGGTAATTTGGTAAAATTAGTAAAAGAGTTAGTGTTTGTGCGGCTAAATCGTCAATTTCGTTTATGTAAGAACGCGTTTGCCGGTTAAAATGCAGTGCATTGTTTATGTGTAAGATATGTAAGCGCGCTTGTGTTTTACGAGAAATGAGTGCGTGACAAAAGCATCTTAGCGCTGACGCTAATGACAGCTGAGGCAATTAGAGATATGGCGAAATGGCATAAGTGCATATGCAAAAACAAATAAACAAAAGGAATGGGAGCATAAATAAGAATTTGCATTTTCGTGGATTTCACTGGAAGTGACTGAAGTAACTAAATATGTGTGCGTGTATGTAGGTGCGGAAGGAAAATAAATGCTTATTTGTAATTAAAACGCGAGTGCGGGATTAAACGTTATTTTAGCGAAAGCGCGAACATACAAAGCAAATATATTTAAAATAAGAAGAAAAAAGTGTTAAATTTTTGTGGTTCAAAGATATTAATTAAATTTTGTGGATAAAATAAAAAATCCAAAACTAAATTAAAATTAAAATTATCGTGTTTTAAAGTGTTTGAATGCCATGTAGGTACATCGACTGTACACAAATCATAATTAAAATTAAAACATGCTGACAGTAAAGTCCAAAACCATAAAATTACTTTCGCTTTTACCGCATTTCGGCCACAAAGATTGATTTGTAGCGCTGTCAAATAAAAGTTTGAAAATATATTCTGATAAAAGAAATATCAACTGACATATATTGACTTAGCGCGCCGATAAATAAATACATACAGAGATGTGTATGTGCTCACTAATATAAAAAAGAAAAACCAATATTTAGACAAAAACTGAAGGCAATGCACCAAAATATGGGTCAGTTTGATAAGTTGACAAGACAAATAAAAACAATTGAAAAAAGTGGCGAATAAGAAAATTAAATGAACAACTTTACTAAAGCAGTAAGTATTTATCTATATGTTTATAGTCATGCAGTTTCAAAACTTTGTGAAGTTTGATGACGATGACAATCCAACTGCCAAAACACAATAAATGATTAAACATTTGGTAAACAAAATTAAAATTACAAAAGACTGTTAAAACAAGGAAAGAATAATTAATAAAAAATGAAAAATAATTAAATTTTTTTTGGTGCGTGTTGGTAATTAATAAATATATACTTAATATATTGAATAAAAATATATCGTTACAATTAACAGAGTGTGACAAATGTGTAATTAATGTGTTTGAAAAAAACTGAAATCAAAATTATAATATATTTATTGCGGATATTAAAGGCTTTTAAAATTATTACAAGGTAAGTCAATTGCTTTTACGTATTTTACCACCATAAGAAATGTAAAATTTTATTAAATATTTTTCATGACTTTGATACATACTTGTATAGTAATTTTAAAATTGCCAATTCAAAAGCGTAGGGTACAAAAATCATAAATTATTGTATTACCAACAATGACTGTTATCACTATTATATAAAAACTTAACAAAAATGAAAAAAAAAACTTTATAAGAAAAACCTAACTTCATGTTCCGAAAGCCTTCGAATTTTAGCTAGGTCTAAAAAAAATTAGTACTAATATGCATCGCGTTTTTCATATTCATTTTTAAAACTAATGTACAGTATTTCAGCACATTGTAAATTTACTAATATGACTATTTATTATTTTTTTTAATAGATTTTTAACTTGATATTTATCATTCTCCTAACGTTTTTTTGTAAAAGGCCTGCAAATATACCCATCTCTATCTTTCTGTAGAAAAAAAGTTTCTGAAATATTAGGTTCACATAAGATAACAAGGAATGACGTATGGAAAGTACTAATCCAAAAACATTTAGAACAACACTATTATATTGTAAGAAAAAATTATTATCAACCAATTATTTGCTAGAGATATATTGCTCATACCCCTCTATACCAACCAAAAAACAGCTGCGTATCTACCCTTCTTATAATAGGTGCTCATAAAAGCCATTAGTAGTTCGGATAACATCCTTAAGCATCTAGAGCAACATCTGAAAAAAAAGTAGACTTCAATAAGTTTTTTAATTGGAACTAACCCTCGTGTATTAGTTGCAAATCTTCAAAAGCAGAAATTCCTACAAATGCTATCTGTCTCTTACATACTAGTGCACGCTGGATTAAATCGGCTTAGCGCTTTAATACCTTTCAACGGCCTAACACCTAAATTGCAACGCCCACTTTGTCACTATGCACAACAAACACTTAGCGGCGCTTTGCGAGAAGCCGCCAAACATTGTAGTGCCTTACCAACAAACCAACAAAGAGCGTGCTGCTTTTGTTTTCAATCATTGACACCACCTGCTTATCAGTGCTGTAAGCAGGCTAAAAGGTAGGCCCGCGAAGTGTAGATGGCAACTTGGTAAAAAGTATATGCGAATTTGTATTGAAGTATTGCCATTTTATCGGCAAATTTCTTAAAAGAAAATAAAAATGAACTAACAAAAGCAATTACAATACGCGTAAAGTTGGGAGAAGTAACAACAAAAGGAGACTGTAAAAAGAAAAAACAAAAATGTATGCTCTTATAATAAAAAAGATTTCTGTAAAAAAATGCAAAATGAACCGAAAAAGTCCCGGCTTACAAGTTAAAGACTCCCTAACAAGCATCAACGTTGGTATTACCTGGCAAGAAGAAAACAATGGAAACAAAAACAAGCAAATCACTCCATCTTTACACGCTGAAATCCACTTTGTTCACAAGACAGCGTTTTCTTTGTGTTTTTTTTTTTGTTTTCAAGCATTGTCTCTTGTAAGCGTCTGCAATTTGCCCCAAACTTGCTCCCATTTCATTTTGTGCACGTTCCACGTTGAGTGCCAGTCATATACTGACTTTCTAACGAAATGCCTGTCAAAAACTTTTTTCTTTGCATATCATTCGCTATCCCTGTTGCTGTCCTTTCGCTTTGTATGTTTTCCGACTTGCTCTTTTCGGTGGTCCAAAAATAATTTTTCATAGATTCCGCGACAGCTTGTTGCTTCTGGCGTTGGTATCCACTTAGACAATGACAGTACAGTTAATTCTCGAAATACAGAGTAGTTACATACTTAGCTTCAAATTGGATAAATTTCTGGTACGAAGGAGCACTACAATAAAATAGTTGCTGAAATAGTATGTTATGTGGAAGCAGTGAATCTTCCAATCGGGAATCAACCACAAAAGTTTGAAAAAATTTCAAACAGTAAATGCCTGATCTCCAAAAGCGGTGTATTAAATTTTTAGAGTGTAAGTTCCAACGAAATATAATGAAAGTTCGTGAGGTACTCTAGCTGTCAAGTTGGAACAGATGATGTTAATAGCGACGAACCAAAACTCAATCTGCCTCACCTTCCTGGGTGTGGTTTTTGCTTTCTCCTCAAAAATCACTTACTTCAGCTACTCGATATTTGTTAAGTTAATTTTGTTAAATTGAACCCTTTTATAGTTTACCCCGTTGCTGGTTTTTTAACTTTTTGAGAACCCGAAATGAAGCCGGTAACTTCTCCATATAACTTTCTTAATACACTAGTTAGCCAGTAGCCACTGTATTTTCATAATTTTTGTAAACTTCATACGCGTTTTATGCCAAAAAATTTCTTCCACGTTTACCTGGCGGTAAGCTCTGTTTATCTGTATGCCTGCATTTTTATAAAATATGAGAGGGTTACTGTATGTTGCATAAGTGTGTAGCGTGTGTACGTCAATTGTTGGCATTTGCTTATGAAATTTTTAATGCAAAAGCTCCTTGTGAATACTCGCGCTCCTTGGGATAAAGTAAAAGCCAGCAAAAAAAGTTCAAAAGCCGGTGAATTTTGTCTGTTAATTTTAAGCTGTGTTCTTGAGGGCTTCCCTTGTTTTAAATATTTAGTTTTGGTCGCTTTTTATTGTTGTTTGAATTTAATCTTCCTTTGCTTTCACTTTTCTTTTTGTTTTGCTTTCATGTTTCATATTTTTCGAACTCAGACAATTTTTGTTTACTTTTTCATTTAAGTCTCTTTTTGGACTCTTTTTTTAGAGATTTGGGCTGCTTCTTAACATGAGTACATACTTCATAAAGCTCTTTATCTCTTTTACGTGTATTTAATTGCAGTTAATCTACTTGTGCTTTTGAAAACAAGCTATCTGTCACAAGAAGCACGCGAATTTACAGTTTTGGGGGTGAATGTTTACTCGCTGATTTATTTACTGACTTTTTTCGTGTGAGAGAAGAATTTAGTCTCTAATTGGTGGCTTTCGCTAAAGTAAAATATGTTTTTGTTTTTGTTTCTTGTCTACTAAGCTGACTGTAATGCTAATACATTTATGAAAATCTTTATACTCCGAGTTCTATTAGCTCATTAACTACCCCCGTGTTAGCTAGAAGGCCACTAGATTTATTTTGCTTTAAAATTTTATTATTCATTTTATCAGAAGAAGCATATAAATTCCTCAAACCACTCGCTTACTTCATTTAGTTCTGCTTACTTATCTGCTACACCGAATATTATTTCCTTTTAACCCAAAAAATAAATCAAAATTCCCACTAATCATTAATGTTGTAGCAACGTGCATTTGTTGCACAGTAGTCTACTACATATGGTACATTGCTACACAGGTCTTCACCTTTCCAATACTTCTGCATTAGCGTTGGGCAATGAATGGCTGACGGGCTGCAGCAGAGGAAAAAGTACCAAAACAAGAATGAAATGTTTATGTATATATATTTTTCCTTTTTTATCTTCCCTTATGGCTCGTGCTTCACTGCTCAGCGATGTGTGCGCGTTTTAATAGCCACTTAGGCTACAGTTCCATGTCGGGTTCATAGTTCTATTCTACAAATTTATTTTGATAAAAATTTTAAATCTCTATATTTCTTTTTTTGCGTTGAAAACTTTAATATATTTTGTTTTAAATCAATTTGTTTTAAAAATAATAATTTCCAATAAAAAACTATCCAGTCTCGTGTTTTTTTTTAAATAAAATTATAAATATTTTTGCCTACCCTTTGTTAACCTATTAACCATATTCCCAATATTACCTATTTGTTTGTATAAATTTAGAAACTCTGCCTACTCATATTTAATCATGCAAACTTTCTACAAAATTTTTCTAAAGACTTTATACACTTAACGAAAAAGTTGAAGCAAACGAATTTACTTAACACTACCGAAACAGAAATCATCGGTTTATGGAAGACCGATTTGAAAACATTAAGGAATCCATTATAAGTATTTGGTCTGAGCTATCAAATTTAATAATAGTGTTAAAACATACTAAGACTTCCTGAAAAAGAATGTCGAAAATAGAGAACTTATCGGCTGAGTCGTTAACAAGTGACTCGTCCGTTTCTTATACTTTATTTTCCCTTGATCAAAATCGAAATATGTAATTTTTGGAAGTTAAATTTCCATTGTAGGTCCACTTATGTTTTCGACTTCTATTGATCTCAATTAGTTTTGCTCAAAAGAATGATTATGAAATTTTTAAAATTATCTAACATTTTCTTTCACAGTCCACTGTTTTAGGCAACGGATTGGGAATACATGATAGTAAATCAGAGTTTTCAATATCGACTATGTATATTTGTATGTTCAAATCTACGTTATGTCGTACTTAAAATGACTTTTGAGCTTAAGATTAAGTTACATACAAACTTAGTGAATTTCTGAAAGAAGTATTTGGTTTTACTTAAGTATTCTGAATATTTTGTACTTAATTTCACTTATACTCCAGTTTGAATAACAAAAAAATTAATTTCAAAAATGTAAAAAAAAATAATTTTTTCAGTGTAAAATCTAATTTGTAAAACTCGTGCGCCTTTCCACCGTACTAAACTAAAGAAAATTTGTTAAAACAACACGAAATGTAAAACACTTGTTTGTCAATCGGCATCGAGTTTTCGACACTTAAATAAGATTTAGTGCAATGGAGATGAGCTCCGCGCACCGCCGTTTCGGATTACCGAACTGCCGCATTAGCATTATGCGCGGCGCGTTGTTAGAGTGTCGTCATTGCCTTCGTCATCGTCTCCATTTCAACTGCCTGATTTAGCAGTAATTATGCTAATGCAATGAATGGGCTAGAAATACCTTAAAGATTTCTACAAATACTACGTTCGCTTGGGTGCAGAGGCCAGACAATGCCGATGCGGATGGCTTTTCGCGTTTCACCGTTTGAGTGAAGGTGTTCACGATTATTTGTATTGTAGTTCATGTTGCTACTGCTGGCGAAGTTGGCGCTGGGCGTTGTGTGTGGCTACAGCTTAAACATTTAATGGCACCCAAATAATTTGACAGTTGTATTTTATGACCGATTGCA